CTTTATGAAAATTGGTACGAGTTTCTTTGTTAGCTTATTTTGCGAAACAATAGATTTGTAAAAATGTGCTCCTCGATCAAAACATAACGTATTTAGCGTATACTGAGGTACGGCATCATTTCCCCACCAACCATTACCTTTTGATAATTAAAAGACCAAGTAATTTCAAATTAAAAAAAAAAAAAATCACGAATTAAACCTTTTAATTTTTTTTTTTTTTTTTTTTTTTTTTTTTATGAGAAAATTTCCCAATAACACAATTAATATTTGGTTGATATGTATTTATTATTGTTGTATATTTGGTATTTTTTGAAATTTTAATTTTTTTGTGGTTCAATGCACAATGGCTTAGCCAACTACGGATGATTAATTTTTTTTTTTTTCAATTTTTTTTTAATACGCTGTGATGATCGAACCTATGAGGTGAATCGTGTGACGGCATTATTTTTTCCGATCGAACTGGAAAACCTAGGCAATATATCTTATTATGGTAAATTTCAACAATTAGACAATGCATAAGTGCAGTTTTATGTCTTTCATTTAAACATAGTCATACTGTTATACAACACAAAAAATGTGGTCTATCAAATAACTTTAAAGAACCTTTTTTTGGAAAGTTTTACATTTTAAAAAAAATAGAAATGAAATTTTTACGTAATGATTATCGTCACGTGTCGCAACTTTTTTTTCTTACAGATGAGATTATTTACCTTGCAGTATATGCATCATGACGTATTCATTTCATGAAAATCTTACCAAACTTTTTAACGTAACCAACCCAAAATTCGGTCTTTTGTGTACGGTGACAATTCCCAAACCTAATTTTACCTCGTGTATCATCGGCTATTTATAGAACTTGAGAAAAATAATATAAAGTTATGTATACGTGTTAATTTTGGTTGGTGGTTTGGTTTTTTTTCTCTTTTTTTTTTTAATAAAAAAAAATACTATCAGGAAATAAAACATTTCGTAATGTCTTACCCTCCTTACCAACGATCGGCTAGAAAGCAACAAATCGATCGGCTCAATGATAACCCTTTTAGATCGTCATCCTCATCAAGTGGTAGCGTTCCTTCAATATTTAAGACGAGGAACTCTCAACCTGGGCTTGGGGATCGGCCTTCTAAAGTAAATATTGTATTATGGCGGTTTAGCATTTCATTGTTTTCCGTACTTGAGCACGCTAATTTTTATGTTTTTTGTTCAACCTTTATCAGAGATCTAGGTTAGATGTGGAGAGTCCGTTTCGTATGTCAAGTCCATCAGTAACTCCTTCTAGGGATACTTTTAATTTTATGCCCGACTTGAGTTCTTTACAAAGTACGTTACAAAATAATTGATCTGATTTATTATTTATTTGTTTATTCATTTACGTATATATATTGATTTTTATTTTTTATGATCTTTTTAGAATCCACTTTAAATTTTACAAGTTTTAGCCAAAAACGTGATCAAGACTTGGTTGAGGCTCGTACAAAGATTCAATCTCTCGAAATATCAAAAGAGAATTTAGAGTTGAAAGTTGGTAGACTTGAGGCTGAAAACAAAAATATTGAGCTCAGGAACAGAGAACTTATTCTTCAAAATGAGGTTTTTTTTCTTTCTTTTTTTTTAAAATAAAAAAATTGCAAATTATTGTAGTTTTTTATATTCTTAAAGATTTTCATTTTCATTAGGGATTAACAAGAGATAATGACTTTTATAACAATCGAGAGAAAGAGGCATTGAAAAGTTTGGGAGATTTGGAACACGAGAATAATTTATTGAAAGTTAGTTTTATTAATAAAAATATCTCGTTGAAATTTATTACCAATGTTTTTTATAAATTATCCTTTATCTCACACACACATTTATATAATAATTCAATCATTAGCAAGAAGCTGTTCGTGCATCTCAAACACTTGAAGATGAAATTCGGGAATTACAACAGAATTTGACTGAACTTAAATCCGAAAGTCAGATTAAAGAAAATGACTTGGCGCGTAAACTTTTGAATTCTGAATCAGAAGCATCGAAACTTCAACATCAGATCGATAATCTAAATGAACAGGTACATTATATTTTGGACTTTGAGAGTGTTGCTTAATGCTAATTCTTCCATTTTAAAAATTGAGATTAGATTCGCCAACAACATGATATATCTGCTTCCAGGAAAAAACAATTGGACGAAACTCAGCAACGATTGGAAGAAACACAAGAAAAGCTAAACGAGTTTAGCATGTTATCTGATCAATTAGATCAAATTGAAACTCTTAATAAGAAAATTCAAGGTGTTCGATCAAGTAAATTTTTAGTTGACATTTTAAAACAAATCAAAGTATTAACGGAATAATTTCTAACTATTAGATCAGTCAAACCTTATTCAAGAACTTGAATCAAGAAATCGAGACCTAACAAGGGAAATTAGGCACAATAAACAATTGTCTCCTAGCATTCAAATTTTACAACATAAACTAGAAAAGGCGGAAGTTCAACTTACACAAATGAGTAAACTTCGCCGAGAAACTGCTGAATTGGAAGTTGAAAACGCAATGTTAAAAAAGGAACATGTTTCTTGGTACTTGTAAATTTTATTATTCGTAGTTTGTGTTATCCTTAAAGCATTCATTTGCTTTCAAATTATTTATTGTATTATTTTATTTAATATTTTTTTTTTTTTTTTTATAAAAAAAAAATGATTGTAGGGTGTCTCTTCTTGACCGAGAAGGTGATAGCATTAATAGCGATACTCCATATAATGTTGTAAATGAGCTCATTTCTAGGCGAAATGAAATAGAACTCTTAAAGGTAAAAATCAGTTCTTTGGAAGAAAAGGTCAAGAATAAAGACTTTGTAATTATTGATTATGAGTCTAAAGTAAGTATATTAAGATATTGAAAATGACTTTTAACGTTAATTTTTAAAAAAAATTTTTTTTTGATTCAGGATCAATTTTTCTTCACATGTTAGATTAAAAAATTAAACTACAAATGCCAAGCCATTGAAAATAAATTTTTGAATGAGATAGAAGCATCCAAAGGAAGTAAGGAGCTTCTTCAAGTTGAAGTTGAAATGTTGAGGAGTTCTTTGGTAAGCGAAAAAATGAAACTGATTTTTTGTTAAAAAGAAAATATTGTAACAAATATTTATAAAAATAAAATGTTTAGAAATCTTATGATGAGGAAGAAAAACATTTGCAATCGAACTTCGATATCCAAAAAATGGAGAGAATTCAGAATTTGGAAAATTTGCTTGCAGAATATAAAACAAATCTCGAACAATCCGAAATGAGAGCAATTGTTGCTCAGCAGCAAAAACATGAAGAATTTAAATATCCGGAAACTTTAGAGTTAGACCTTCATTCATTCGAGGTGATGCGAATTAATGAAGTATTAACTAATGGTATTTATTATCTGATTTGTTTAATAAAAATTTCTCAGTCAATACATGATCAGAACGTTTTTTTTTTCCACTGACAAATATAAATTCGTTGATTTGCATATAGAAATCTTTGAACTTGAGTATGACAAAGCAAATATGCACAAAGAAATGGCGTCTTTGCAAAATCAAATGAATATTTATGAAGAATTTGATTTAAAAGTTCGTTCCTCCGAGTTAATTAAGCAGAATGAGGTTCTACAAGAAAGTAAGACTTCCTTTAATTATTTTAGGACCTTATATTTTTATGTTTCTAACGTAAATTCGTTTTGATTAGCCGCAAAAGAGCTCGATGATGATAATAAATCTTTGAGAGTAGGAATCGTTACATTAGATAATCAATTCGATATTCTTGACAAGGAATTGAATGCAGGTGAATATTTTTATTATTTATTAATTTTTTTATTTTTTTTAATAGGATCTTTGTATCTTTATGCTTTCGTTTTTGTTTAGATTTAAAACGGCTCAGTAAAGAAAACGCATTTTTGAGAAAGGAATTCTTTTCATTAAATAATAAAATCGATGCTCTTGAGAAGGAATTGGGTAGAGGTGAATGCGATTGGGCAACAACCCGAGTATGTGATTCATTTATTCATTTTTTTTTTTTCCTCGCATTAACCTAAAAGGCTGTCCAGTTCTTAATAAGTGCTTGTTTTTTATCAGGTATTGGAGATAAAAGATAATCCTGCTTCAAAGGAAATTTCTTTACGCGAAAATAAACTGCAGGGATTAATCACAGAAAATCAAGAATTGAAAGATAAACTTAAAGAATTACTTCAGATTCTTGAACATCAACCCAACACTATGTTAGGATCAAATGGAGATAATGACCAACAAAACGAATTGAGAATTATTCCAATTCAAAGTTATTTGAATTTAGAAGAAGAAAATAAGCAACTTAAATGTCAAGTCGCGGATAAGGAAAAGAGAATGACAAGACTTAAAGAAGTGTGTAGAATCGATCAATTATTAATGGTAACTTTGACACTTTACTAATTTTTTTTATCCGTTCTCTGCTTAAAATAGGTTTGGACAGATAAAGCCCAAGAATATAAGGAAGCTGTTTATAATCTTCTTGGTTATAAGCTAGAATTTCTTGAAAACAGTCGCGTTCGTTTAACTTCTATATACTCGGAACAAAACGATCATTCATTCGTTTTTTCCTCTGATAATGAAAGTGGTACCATGCAACTTATTAATGGTGGTAATACCGAATACATAAAAAGTCAAGATAACTTGATCAAATATTGGGTCGTGGAACGTGATTCTATTCCTTGCTTTTTAAGCAGTTTAACTTTAAGGCTATTTGAACAAAAGAAGTTAGAACCGATTAATGGAGAGGTGGAAACGTTAGCGGGGTAGACTTTTCGGTGTTCGATAATTATTTAATGATTTTTTTTTTTCTTGCTGTAATAAAGAGTAAGTAAGGATTTGACTTCTGGTTTAGTTTCCTAACATGGAAATTTATATCAATCTTCGATTCTATATAAAGAAAACCAATAGTCGATCGATCAATTATTTATAACGATAGAGGAATTTCTAAATTAAAATTAATAAAAACGAAATTTTTTAGAAAAAGCATAATGGTCAAATGTCATGATGATATATGTTCTCAAAAACAGAGAACACCCAAATCACCAAAAACTTGCAAGGGAATTACGCATGTCGGTCAACCTTGTAAAGTTTCTGTGGTCTCTGACACGTATTGTCATCATCATAAAGAACAAAGAACTGGGGAAAACATATATGGTATACCAATGCAACGAAAAAAGAATTCGTCTAATGATAATGATGGAATAGATGAACTAGATTATGAGATGCGATCTCTATCGTTAAATAAAAGCCCATCAACACGAAATGATTCAAAAACAAAGAATAATGTAATTGGCTCAACTTATATCACAATAAACCACAAAAATAAAAATTATCAGATTTCGGGAGAGAAGGAATCAATAACTTCACAAACAAAGAAAAAAGTTCTTACAAGTACTAAATGGGAGCAAACAGACACTCATAATAAATTGCAAACACCACAGCGTGGAGATGACAATTTCGAGACGGCAAATAAAGGATTTCCGACTTTAACGATATCATTTAATGCAAGTCCGCTAGAATCTTTAATTGAAAAGCGCAGTGCTAGACAACAAATAACGTACAAAGAATTATGCGAGGTATTGGAAACACCTTATCAATCGCCAATAAGGAATGTTCCAGATATAAAATCACCTATGACGCCGACGACGTCGACGACACCGACAAGAACAAGCAAGCGTTCGTCGTGTATAAATGAGTCACATGAATCGATGACTGATAATCAAAATATGACACATACCGATTTAACTAATTATGATCGTAGCCCATCACCCACTTCCTCGTTACAAAATAAAACTGTCAAATTAGTTAATCAAAAAATCCAAGCTTCGGAAGAGATTGTTAACATTGAGGAGGAGTTGGAAAAGACCATATACGTTCCTGGTAAGGCAATATTAAAATGGATTCGTTTTGGAGGTAATTATACAACCAATTTCAACATATTTTCATGTTTCGTGTTTTTTCCCCCCTCCCTTTGATAACATTGGTTTTTTTAAAAGAGTGGATAAAACAAGATCTTTCCCCGGAAACAAGGCGTTCATTAAAATCCGAAATGGAGAAGCCAATAGCCGATAAAGATGAACCTGGTTTCATCTACGCATATAGATTGCTTGAAGGTAATAAATATATATGTATATATCATTTGAGGTAATAAATATTTTTAATTTAACTCATTTATGTTAAATAGGACCCAATTCCGAGGAGATGGATAAATACACATTCTATAAAGTCGGTAGAACTTCGAATGTACATCGGAGGCTTTACCAATGGGCCAAAAGATGTGGATACAAGCCCAAGTTAATCGAAGAATTCCCATCTTCAAAGGATAGTGAAGGGGGGGAAGGTTCACGCATAAACGTTGAAAGAACAAAATGCAAGTATACGCATAGAGCCGAAAGGCTCATTCACATTGAATTGACCGCGCGATTCAAAGCCGATGTCGAAAAATGCGAGTCCTGTGGGCGCTCACACAGGGAATGGTTTAAAGCCTCATCGGACGTAAACGATGAATTTGTGTTGCATAGATGGGATGATGTCCGAGAAGTAATAACCCATTGGATAACCTTTGTTGAAAAGGTTTATGGTACCGGATAAAATGATTTTCTTTATATCATTATTGTATTTATTGTATTTGTCACGTGAACAACCCAAAAATGAGTTATTACCTGTAAATTAGAAACCATTTGAAATTTCGTCGAATTAATTGGATTAATTCGAATTCTCTTGTACTTAGATAATAACTGTTATGATTATATTTATTTAATATTTATTTGTATTTTTGTATTTGTAAGTTTCAAGAATAAAAGAAGGATTAAAGTTTTCTTGTACATAATTGGGGTATAGTAAGAATTTCAATATTTATGTAATGATGATACCATATTACATTGTCTGATGAAACTTTTAAGATATTCAGATGTCCGATTATGAAAGATAAACCCCAAAAAGAATTTTTTTTTTTGCCAGAACGTAGTGTCACACCCACGTTTGTTGATCCGACATTTGTCATTGCCGCAGTATTAAATTCATAAAAAAAGTGGGGCACAATTTTATAATCGGAAAGAAAATCTCATTCAAGTTTGGGAACCGATGATGTCAACCAGATAAAGTAATCCACGTTTCAATCCATCCGCAGGAATAAATAAATGCTTTACAGGGGAGGGGGGCTTACAAAAGTGGCTGTTGAGGAAAATAACTGATTAGCAAGATGTGCGAAGCATTAGGAATTGCGGGAAAATCTAATTCAACAAACTGAAGGTTTATTAATTACAAAGATTATTTTCACTTCTCATCAATGCGTAAGAATAAAAAAAGAACAAAAAAAAATGATATAAATTTTTTTTGATCTAAGCCTCTCTGCAAATCGTCGATAAATCGGTACATGGACCCTGCTTTGATATCAAGGGTATTTTTTTTTTATTATATAATTTATATAAAGTTCAAAAGATTGAAGATCACTGAACAGTGAACCGTCGATCATTAAAAAATTGGAAAGAAAAAAAAAAAAAATACATATATTCCCAAACTTATGTTCATTTAAAAAATGCATTTTTTTTTTTTTTCTTTTCCATTTTTTCCGTTGTATTGTCCCCTTTTTATCCCCCATTTTCTTGTGTGTGTGATTTTATTTCGAGAAGGGATAGTCCTTCCAAATGGGGTAGTATTAAAAATATATCAAATCTATGATTGGTTTGTTTCATTTACATCGCGACTCTGGGTGATAAAATTGGGTTTCAAAGGTTCCTATACTTCGTAATCTCATTCTGATTTTTATAACTCCCTTTGGGTTATTTAAAAAAATCAAGGGAGGGTCACAGAGTGTAACTGCGTCAGTTTATTTATGTGTGGTCGTTTATCTATTTCTTTTATATAAATATTTCATTTAAATATGCCACGAACGCGTTTTTTTATGAATTTTGGGGGCTGTTTTCCGTATAATCTCTACATCTAAATTTATATCATAGAAATGGGAAAGTCAACAGTCCAAAAATTCTAGACTGAATGCGCCACTTTGTATTTTAGCATTGAGCCTGGTTTCAATTTCTCTCATTCTCACTTTCCCATCCTCTTTTCTTCCAATTCTTGACTCTTCTGATCCTATAGAATAATAAAATATATATATTTGTCTCATCTGTAAATAGTAAACCTTGAACTTTATTTATACATACATTTGTATAGATTTTATCTATACTATTTTAATCTATGAAAAAAAAAAAAAAAAAAAAAAATAATAACAATAGATATATATATAAAAAAAAATTTTTTTTAATTAAGATATATTTATTTTTTTATTTATTTATTTTATTTTATCTTATTTTATTCAATTGTTAACAATTTAAACAATTAGACCAAAAAAAAAAAAAAAAAAAATCAACTGCTGCGTTTTGATTGGTAGTAATTTTTTTTATAAACAGGGTCTATTCTTTCTTGCTGAGCTACCGGCTGCCATTCCATTTTTTCGATCAGGTAGAAGCACTTTCTCGTGTTCTCTGGCTCTCTTTTTTTTTCTTTTCTTTTCTTTTCTTTTTTTCTTTTTTTTTTTCTTTCAAATCAACGATTTAAAAAAGTTTTTCATTTTCAAGGTTTTACTTGTTTTATAATTTGTTCTCTTTATGTGATAACAATAGTAACCTGATACAGTTTCGTTTGTTGAAATTCTCTTCGACTTTTAGCGACGACCTGTAACGTGTTCACGAACTACGTAAAATTTTTTTTACGTCGCAGCCTCACTTATCAAAAAAAAAATCTTTTAACGAATTAACGATTATTGACGTGTCGCGCTGATACGACCAATTATTTCTTTTACGACTTTTACGTTTAATATCAAATATTTTGGTTTGTGTTTGTGTTTTTTTTTTTCTTTCTACTTTGATGAAAAAAAAAAATATTTAAAAAGACTTGACCCCTTTTTCTTTTGTTTAATAAAAAAAAATTGTTACAACACGTTTTCAGATAACAGGTAAAACTCCCCACCCCCTACTCTCTCTCCCCTCCACACCTTTGATTCTACCTTTGACTAAAATATTAGTGTGTGAATCTGTAATAAAAGGCGACATAATGTTACCCGTAGCCACACCGCACATACATTCAAGTTACGGTGGTTTCCCACATTTTGGATCAGCAGGAGGATATCCTCCACACACGTAAGTGTTTTTTTTTTTTTTTTTCTTTGCGACCCGAACCGTATCCCATTTCAAATATCACACGAGCTATTCCAACATAAGCGTCATTTTAGTGATATATGAAATTGTGACAATGTCGAGTTTGCGCAACAGGTTTATCTTGTTTATTTATAGCATATGTGATAAAGATTGAATTCTTTATTATTTTCTGGTTTGTTATCTAGTATCAGATATCATCCAGAAACTTATTCTCCGTCAACATAGTTAGTACAATTTTATCTCTGTTAATTGATAAATACTTGATACGAATTAATAAAACCAATCAATCGATCAAATTATTTAAAAAACAACAGTCCGACGTCGCCACCAAATAGTGCCTACAAAACCGGAGGTATTCAAAATTCTCAACTGTTGAGCCATGGTCAATTAATGCCAACCACCACACTTCCACCCGTAAATTCCGTCCCTGTTTCATCACAACCGGATCTTAGTCCAATCAATTCTCCGCTTAACTGTAGTAATAACGGTGCCAATGGTTATCATATACCGCATCACATTCAGCACCCTAATAATACTACTCCAAGTCCTTCTTATCACAATTCATCACACCTTGAACAAGGTCAACAATCTCCGGATCATGATTATAGTAGTTCCGCTACTCCTGTTAGCATTCCCTCTCCGCCTGAAAGTATTCCCTCTCACCAATCTTCGTCGTGAGTAATTAACAATCTATTGTCAATGTATTTATTATATGATCATTCTCCTAATTTGTTCTTTTGATCCGATCATATTTGTGTAGAAACTTGCGGTTTGAAATTCTTCTCGAGGCACCCACCGCCTCTGCACAACGTATTGACGAATCTCCTGTAACTTATCTTAATAAGGGTCAATATTATGCGATTGGAATACAAGATCATGATAAGTATGATACCGAATATACCACAGTTTTCAAAGTAATGTTTCATGATGATACCCATCGCAAAATTGCTTCTACTTATTGGGGTTATTGGTTGACGCAACAAACGTCCCCTAAAAATTCCCGGGCCGTTGAGATTGGTAAGTAAATATTTGGAAAAATTCTGGTAATAATAATTCAAAAAAATGAACCCGCATGATTCTTTCCTAAAAGATAAAGCCGCCTCCTCCGGGATCAGTAACGTGGAGATAAAGGCCTTTGATCGCGTACAAGTCCAATGGAATGGAAAGAAGGGCGCAAAAATTTTTATACGTTTCAACTGCCTTTCTACAGATTTTTCTCGAATAAAAGGCGTTAAGGGTATCCCACTAAGAATTCACGCAGAGACCAAGTGCGACAATGGTGCGATCTGTACATCTCTTGAAAAATCCTACGCCAAAATTAAGCTATTTAGAGATAAGGTAAGGGTTATTTAAAAAATACAATTATCTATCCCAAATTAATTTTCTAATCATTGTGTGATATTTTTTTTCGTTTAGGGTGCTGAGCGTAAAAACAAGGATGATCAAAAACATTTAGAAAAAATGTGCGAGAAGATGAGAGGTATTATAAATAAAATCACGGATTTTTTTATTTTAATTGTTCAACGTTCATAAATTAAATGAGTGTTTAATATGTTCAAGCCAAATCACAAGAAACCACTCCAATGATAATGATGTATGCGCCACCGAGCAATATAACCGTATTTAACGAATATACTGGAAATGACGCGCCTAACGATGATGAAATTTTAAGTCTTTCCGAAACTTTAAATAATCTTGACCCGGAGGTGGAAGGTAGTGATTTAATGACATTTCAATTGGGAAAACGCAAGAGATTTTCATTGGGACCCGATTTCTTGGAACCTTTGGATTGCGACCCTACTTACATTCCACACTTAAGAAAACGTCGTGCGGGTATTTAAAATATATCAATTGGGAATTGTTAATCTTGTTTTGTATTTACATATTTACACTTATATATTCCTTTTTTTTTTTTAGTTCTCTGCATTTACGTTAAATTGCCGGGTGAATCTGTATATCGCGCTGTTTACCTAAATCAACTTACTGTCCAAGATCTCATTTCAAAACTAACTGAAAAACTCTCCGAGAAAATTAATCTCCAAGGCCAACAAATCACAAATGTGGTTAGATGCACCAAACGTAACCTTACCGTTCGTTTTGACGACGATTCAGTTCACCAAATCGAAGATGAAACGGATATGGATGTCGAATTTCATCGGATTGGACAGGATGGAAACGTGCAATTAACGTTAAAATATTGAGACAAAGCAGCGAGTGATAAATTGTTTTATCAATGAATTAACGGACATCATTATTATTTTATTAAATATATAAATATTTATAAAATCAAAAAGAAAAAAAAAAAAACAACAAAAAAAACCAAAAAAGAAATATTTAAAAGTTCTCAAATTGGAATTTTTCTTTTCTTCATAATTATGTAAATACTTTACTTTTCTTTTTCAAGTGCAGGTGTGAAAACTAAAAAAAATTTTCATTATTTCAAAACCATAAAAGTATATTTAAAAAAAAAAAAATTCGGATTTAATGTTGGTTATCGCAAACAATCAATCTTTTTTTTGGGTTTTGGGTTTAAGCTTTTTTTTTTGCTGATTCACTTTTCATTTTCTTGTAAATATTTTTTTCTTTTTTTCCTAATTTTCTAAAAAGCAAAAAAAAATAAAAATAAATAAACTAAAAATTTTTGGGGATTTTAATTGTTTTTGATCGAAATTGTTGGGATCAATTAAAGAAAAACCGGCAAGATAAAGTGTGGCGAAAATCAAACACGACTTAATATGAATTGAAAAAGTATTCCATCAAGTTTAACCTTATTTATTTGTTTATTTATATGGGATTATTTTGATTTACTGATTTACATATTTTAAAAAAAAAAATTCTTAATTACTAACTAAATAAAAAAAACTTTCAATTATGGTGATATTCATTGATGATTTTTGTCAAAAGTGGAGGGATTTTGGTAGACAAATTGCTTCAGGACACTTATTACAAGTTTGTGGAGTTTGGTAACAACGATAATTTTTCTGACATGGAGGACATTCAGGAATAGATTGCGTGCAAATTATACAATCTAGTGTCATAATAATAATAATAATAAATAAAAAATAAAAAAAAAAAAGTATTTTTATTATTATTATTATTATTTATTTATTTATTTGGTACCTTCGTGATTTTTGACGCATTTAGCAGTTCCACATGAATGACAATCAGGTTCCTCTATCACGCACTCTTCATCTTTGCCACACTTTGGACAAATAGGATAAGTAAAGCATTTGATACAATTATCATCTGTCCATCTTTTTTTATCTAGTAAAAATCATGAGATTATTTTTTTTTTTTTTTTGTTTAGTTGGAAATTTTTTTTTGATTGAATAAGAAAAAGGAAAAAAAGGAGGCGCTTTTTGGTCACAACTCTACCTTCTATCTGTTTACAGTACCCTTTTGGACACGAGTTACAGTCTCCCTTGGTCGGATAACATTCTTTTCCTTTTTCACAAGGAGGATCACAATCAATGTATAACGGACATACAACACATTTTGGAGCTTTTTTTGTTAAAAATAAAAAAAAAAAGTAAACAAAAAAAAAAAAAAAATAGGGTTTTAATTTTTTTTTTTTTTGTTTTTTTAATAACCAATTTAATCCAAATTTTTATGGCTTATTTACCAGAGTTGCTTGTTATTATCAAAAATATTGAGATAAACCCGATACAGGTTAAGAAAAAATAGAATTTAGACATTTGATATTTTTTTGAAATATTTTGGTGAATAGGACGGGAAAATCAAAAAAGATTACGGTAAAAAGAAAACCTCTTTATATAATTATCAACATAAATTTAAACGTAAGGTTTAAGGCGCAAAACGTCATGAACGGGAAAACAACAATTAAATATATATTAAACAAAAGAGGAAGTTGTATTCAGAATTTGGGAATAACTTTTAAAGGGCATCTTTTCAATCCCCTTATTGTATGATTTGATAGAAATCCTAATGATAGTAAAAATCATAATTATGTGGCTACAAACAAAATTTTGATTATTTTATTTATTTTTAAACATAAAAAAAAAATAAATAATAAATAGGACGGCTCATGAGGTATCATCGTCGTCACTGTCATCGCTATATACAAGTAAAGATAACAAAGGGTTCAAGGGTTTACTATTATTGGTCGTTTCTATCGAGTCTTTCCCTTCAACTAAAGTTCTTTCTGATGATTCTTCTTTCGAAATTTCTGGATCATTTGATTCTTTAATTTTAATTCGTTTAATTTCTCTAGCCTGTTCATCATCATCAGAATCATGTGGTTCTCGCTTGACAGTATGAGATGATTGTTCTATAATAATAGGCGATAATACTAATTCTTGTTCATTAGTTGATGATGGAGGTTCATGTTTAGTGGGAAGTGATGATCTTTCTTGCTTGATTGTTACCAGTAACGGTTTACTGCGCGTTGATTTGGCGGTTTTCTTCACCGCATTCGCTAATATCTTTCGTTGTGAATCATGTTTTTGAGTATTTTTTACCAGTGCCGGAGCCGGTTCATATACAATGGGTTTTGAAATTGCAATTGCAGCCTTATCAGCTTCAGCTGCAGCTCTAATTATTTAAAACCATGGGAAAAAAAAAAAATAAGAAATTCTCAGACGTGCAATAAATATATATACATTTATCGCTTTTTTTTTTTTTTTTTTCAAATAAAGTAAATTCAATGAATACAAACTGCCTAAAATTTTCGAGTTCTGCCTCATCTTTTTTCATCTTTTCTAATTCTTTAACACGTTCGTCACTCTCTACCGTCGCCAAGAATTCTATCTCATCCTCGTCCAGCCTATGAATTAAATTACCTGCAATTGTTTTAAGCTATTTTAAATCAATTCCTCAAAAGGTAAAATTCACATAGATTGATCAAAACATACTGTATCTATTCATCTCTTGAAACGATTCCTCCTTTTTCATTTTTTGTTCTTGTAACCTCTCGTATAATGTTCGAGGATCATAATCCTCCTCAATAGGAGGAGGTTCTAAGATAACATGAAGGTTTTCATTTGTGTCAAAAAATAAATTGGATGATGGAATAAACTTTTTTCTTGAAAGTTCCAAATTTGACAATTACTTTCGTTTATTCTTTCAAAAGCTTTCTTCCATTCTTCTTCCCTCTTAAGCCTAGCTTCTTCTACTTCCTTTGATGAAATAAATTTACTTTCCATTATTATTATTATTTTATTATTTTTTTAACGCGAAAAAGGGGTGGTTGGCTTTGTTTGATGATGATCTACGGTGGAATCTAAGATAATAACCAAGCACAACCACGTCGCACAGATCTCAAATTTTAAACTCAAAATTTCCACCGAAACCTTTTTTTTTTTTTTTTTTTTTGAATTATTGTTATATTATTTATTATAATCATTGAAAATAAAATAGAATCATGTCGCGAGCGATTCGTAGCGTTTTTCAGAGTCCTTTAATAATAAATCATACAACCCTACAGACAAGAATCCTTCGTAATTATCAAACGGAAAAATTATCCAAAGGAGAAAAGTATCTCTTTGATAAGTTACATTCGAAATTTAAACCTACTCGATTACACGTGGAAGACATATCAGGTGAGCAAATAATTTGTTCGTTCACACCGAATATAATTGCATGTTCTTTTGATCTGATGAGCCTCACTTAAATTATTATCATTAAGGAGGATGCGGATCAATGTACGCAATCGAAATTTCTTCAGAAACGTTTAAGGGACTCTCTGTGATTAAACAGCATCGAATGGTCAATGAAATACTCCAAGATGATATTAAGAAAATGCACGGAATACGAGTAATTATTAATAAGAATTTTTGTTATTATTTTATTATTTTATTTAAAACCTTTTTTTTTTTTTTTACATAATCTTCTCTAGCTTAAGACTTCAGCAGATTAGAATGATATTAGAATTTAGCATCATTCTAGAGGTAACTTTTTAAAAAATTTCTATCGTCTAAACTTAATCTATATACAAAGAAAAAGAAAAAAAAATTTTTTCTTTTTTTTCGTTCCAAATCAAATTGAATTTTTTTTTTTTTTTTAAAAAAAAAAAAGAGGGAAAATAAAATTATGTTATAAATAATTATTTTAATCCACATACCAAAATTGAATCAAATTTGTTTACTGATTAAGTTTATTCGTCAGGTAATTATCATTTGAGATGGTCTTTTGCAATGATGACCAAATCCGATTCGCAACTTTTAACGCAAATCCGGCTGTTACCCATATACCACCAACGAGTCCACTTAATCTTACCAAAAATGTGACAAAACTTGAGCCATTTTCGATGATTCGCACAGAAATTGGTTCAATATCATATTTGAAGAAGATTCCTTTGATAATTAGGATATAAGTAAGTAAAAGTTAGTTCGGGAAATGATATGTTGTAACCGAAATTAACAAGCAAATTTCGAACCTGGAACACCGATTCCTCCTTTTGATGAATCAATGATACGAGAATATTCCGTAACTGAATATTGATTAGTTAACAAAACTTGATTACTATTATCTATGTATGTCGTCGGGACCTATATTTCAGGAAAATATATATGAATAATTTGCGGTATGAAACATAATAAAACCTTTCTTGTACAACTTACGACTGACAAAAAATACATAAAAGCTTCCACATCTAGATTTAAAACAAATTAATTGAATTAAATGAAAACGATATTCTTACAAATACGAATTTTTTTTTTAAAAAAAAAAAAGAAAAACATACGAGCTTCGGCAATCTCGAAACTATTATCAAGTGGATTTATTAGGTGCGGATAAAGAGTTCCAAATGAGAATTCATCAATTCTATGTGTGAAATTCATTTCTATGCAAATGATTAATTAAATTAGATCAATATTTTTAATTTTGTAAATTGCAAAGAATAAATGTTGCATACCTTCATCAGCCGTATTATAAAATCCATATCCATATCCATGGCCAAGTGCGGTAATATGCAAATTACCGGTGACTTTATTGACATCTAAATATCCAAAAATCCTGCATGCTGTCTTTGTATCCCCTACAAAAGAAATTTTTACATGAAAATGGATACTGATCGGGAACTGCTTTGGAATTTAAATAGTTACCATTGGCATCATCGTTCTCAGGAATTGGGTTGAAATTTGAGGCAGCTTTCACCATTTGTCTAAAATCTAATCGTGAACTATAATTATCACTAAACGTGGGAAGTGAAATCATTGTAAATAAATTTACCTGGTTACAATAAACAAAATGGTTAATTGAAAGAAAAAAATTAGTTACCTTAACAAATGAGCGGATCTGACTTCAAAGGTCGTCTAAAAAAAATTAAACTCGCGTGATTAAACGACAACCTCTTGTGCATTCAAATTCAATATATTTTATATACCGGTATTTTCTCCAGTTCGGTTGTCATGTGCAGTCGCTCTCCAGCAACATCTACCACGTCTACCGTCAAATCTGATAAAACGGTACATTTTTAGTTTTGTGAGGTTAAATCAAAAAGTAAATTTAATCATTAAGGTTAACTCACAAGGGCATTGAGTATTTACTGTAATATCAACGTTAATCTGTAATTCGTGGTTTATACTTTGATCTACCACAAAGTCATATTTTTGATCGAGATACCAGTACTCTCTGAATTCACTAACTATCAAAAACCATAAACATATCGATACAATGATTGTCAAAAAACCACCTTGCGTACTTCGATTCTGACAATCTGCATCAACCTTTGGAAATGCATCGAACACGATCGCTTTTTTTAAAATTTTTGAAATCATGTCAAGGATAAAAAATCGGTTTGAAAGTGAGAAAATCTATTTATAAATTACTGATATTTTTAACCCCGTTATATTAGTGATCTAAAAATACATCATGTAATTTAACTAATTTAACATTGTACAATGCATTAATGCAGTAAATGTTATGAAATTTAATTTTATCTGTCACAATTATGGAAACTCCATTAAATTTTTTTTATTTTAGTTGATCGAACTATTATCGTTATACGTATTCCTTCTGATACGCCCCCAATATTATTTTACTCTCTTTTTACTCATCTTTTTTTTTTTTTTTTTTTCCTTTTACCCTTATCCTTCCTTCCTTAACTTCTAAATTCCGTATTAAGTCATTGAACTTTTTTATTAATATCAACCAATATGAGCAGAGGTGGTTATGGTGGTGACTATGCGGTAATTTCAATTTAATTAATTTATTTATTTGTATTCTTCTCATCTATATTAGACAGTTGATTTCGTGAACTTTTATTTATTGTTTATTGTTTATTTAACAGGGAGGGCAGGGTCAGTATGGTAACGAATACGGAGGAGGGTATCCACAACAACCATATGGCCAACAGCAACAGTATGGTCAACCACAATATGGTCAGCAACAAGGTTATGGTCAACAGCAATATGGGCAACAACAGAATTATAATCAACAGTCATATGGACAACAACAACAATATAATCCAAATGTGCAACAAAATGTAGAGATGACTCAGGTCAATCCGGATAATATCAATGGATTTTTTGACGAGGTACTATATTCTTTAATTAGGAAGGATAGGAAGGATCAATGCAATTCATAAGTTACTGGCGGTTGTCACGTTCTAGATATGACACATAACGTATCACGCGTTTTTTTCACCTCTCGTGAATTCAATTTCATCAAGATGAATTCGCGTTCTTAAAAAAAGAAAAAACCAACCATATATATAAGTAATTTTCTAACCATGTTAATTATTTCTTGTTTAGGTTTCGTCAATTTCTGATGTGATCCGTCAAATAAAAAGCAACATTAGCCGTATTGATGAATTTCATTCACGTTCCTTGGGAACAATCAATGAAGATGAAGCCACTAAACGTCAACTTGATTCCATTATCGTAGAAACGCGTCAACTTCTTGTTAAAGTTAAAGATAGAATTAAAAAAATAGAAGTCTCAAATTTAAAGGCTAGTCCTGCGGACCTTACAGTTCGAAAGCAACAGGTTATTATAAAATGTATTTCTTGGAATTGTAAACATTACATCTATGGTGTTCTAAATGAGCCCTTTTACATTTTTAGACAGGTAATCTACGTCAAAAATTTATGGATACTTTACAAGAATACCAACAAGTTGAATTTCAAAATCGCCAAAAGTTTAGAGAGCGTATGGAAAGGCAATATAAAATTGGTATGTTTGCATGGTTCGATTGGGGCCGTTTTAAAATGCGTTGAAACTTTTATTGTATTATAATAGTTAAATAAATTAACTATTCATCATTCAATAAAAGTTAAACCCAATGCGACACAAGATGAAATTGATTCAGCACTGGACAATGACGACGGTGGACAGATTTTCGCACAATCGGTTGGTTTTATATTTCTAGTTATAATCATTTTAATTCCCAAGTTCTTGACGTTATAATAAACTTTTTTTAATCTCGTGATTAAATTTAACCGTTTCATTTAGCTCATGAATTCAACAAGATACGGTGCAGCAAAGGATGCATTACAAGAAGTGCAAAAACGACACGATGATATCAAAAAGATTGAAAAAACCATTGAAGTAATTCATTTTTCAAAGCTAATATTCTTGAAAATGTACGGTTTTGATCTCGTTTTCTTACTCATTGAATTGACATATCCTAGGAACTTGCGAATCTTTTCCAAGAAATGCAAATTTTAGTCGAGGCACAGGACACACAAGTTACTCAAATTGAAGAAAACGCTACTCAAATACAAACCGATATGGAGCAGGGTGTTGTCCACGTGGAAAAAGCTTTAGATAGTGCACGATCCGCAAGAAAGGTAGGTGGAATTTTGGGTCATACATCTTCATTAAGGATGTTTACTAAATCGAACCACTTATATCCTTTTTAGAAAAAATGGTATTGTTTCTTCATTGCCATAGTTCTCCTAGCAATATTTGCTGCAGTATTATACATTTATGTTATTAAACCCATGCTTAACAAGCAAAAATAATGGAGTTTAATGAATATCATATATACTAGTAGTTTACCCTACCTTAATTATTGCGGGTCAGAAATTTGGTGGAAAAAAAAAGCAATTTATGCGGACATTAATATCAATTAAATTCGAAGTGTATCATATTATCGGACATTTTGATAATTTATCATAATCCACTCATTTTCCTTATGATTTCCCTTTCATATAGAATTATTTAATTTAGATATTATGGGAAAACGTAAAAAAAATATATATATATTATTATTAATTCTCTCATACTTTTATATACTCATCTGTTGTCTACTATTATTAATATTTAGTAATTTGCATACTTTTTATGTAATATTATTCATCTTCTGATTGACCTTTTTTTTTAATTATTAATTAATTGTCCATATTCACTCTGTATTAAATCTTTTTCTTTTTACGTAAATTGAAAAGTTTCTAATACAGGTGATATAAAAAAATTTTCAAATAAAAAGTTTACTTTGAATTCGATTGCTTTTTTTTATTAATAGATTCCTTTAATGACGAGATTTCTGAATCTTTTTCTTCTAAAGTGCGTAACAATTGAGTAATACGATAATTTAATTTGTTATTTGTAATCTTTAAGGCGTAGAGTTCGTCCTCTAAAGGTTTCAAATTTGTTGTTTGTGCTGAAGTATTTTGATCATTATTTAATCCTATCATACATAAATATATAAATAAAAATATATATATTAGGTCGTTCAATAATTTATTTGGGATACTTGGGAAATTTTTTTATTTTCTACTAGTTACCAGAAATAACTTCTTTTAATTCGGAGATTTGTGCTTGAAGACCATTGATAATGATGTCTATTGAGGTTTCAGACATTTCCTTGGTTAAAAATACAAAAAAAAAATTTTTTTTTTTTATAAACGTACGGAACGACGATCAATGTCAAAATAAGAACGTGACAAAATTTTATTTATTTTTTTTTTTTAAAAAAAAGAGAACCATAAAAAAAAATAATATAAAATAAATAAGATTAAAAAAAAGATTATTATTATTGTTTTTTTTTTAAAGAGCCGCGATCATTTTATTAAGTGATCCATTCTCTTTGGCTGCTAAAAGGTCATCACAACCTACATAATGATGAATAAGAATCAATAAAGAATGAATGATGAAAAATAATTATTTTTTTTTTTAAAAAAAAAAAAAATAAAGCACCTCCAACGTGTTGACCTCCAATGAAAATGTTTGGTACGGTATTTTGTTTTGTTTTCTCTTTGAGATATTTTTGAATGTCAGAACCTTCAGCTACATTTTCAAATCATTTATTTTATTTATTTTCTTTTTTTTTCTTTTTTTTTTTGAAATTTCAAAATGTCTTTAAAAATAAATATTGCTTACATTCAGTATCTAATTCGATAGCTTCATAATTTTTGTTTAGACTTTCAAGTACACCCTTTGCCCTTTTACAATATGGACAATATGATTTGCTAAAAATCATGATTGGATTTTCTTTAATAAGTTTCTATATTATTTCATTTACAAAGGAAGAAAGTTTAATAACAATTCTCTTGATTCCCCACATTTTAATAAACAAAGACATCATAAAAAAGACATTTACTTCAACGAGATCTTTAACACCTTTACTCATGATTAAAATTTTGTAGTTTTGAGAAAGAAAAGGGAGGGAGCCTCATGATTTACGAATCAAAATAATATAAATATATGATAAATTGTGGATCTTTGACAAATTTGTAATCCATTTTTATTCATCATTGCGCATTTTTTAATACTTATTTGTAATAACTTTGATGGAATTTCATTACTAATATTTTCTAGCTTTTTATTCGTGCGTAAATTGCACTAAAACAATTTTAGCGATCGATTCACAGAAAAAAAAAAATAGATTCTTTTAAAGACAATTAAATGCAAAATAAAAAAGAGGGAATAATTAAATACTACTACTATGATTGTATCTGCTCAAGTGAAAAAAAAATTCATATATAATTATTTATATATAAGGATGTAAGAACGAAATCACTTCGATTTCACAAGAACAAAATAAACGAAAAATTAATTTATATCGACTAAATTTAAAATCTCGAAGCGACCATGATTTCTATGTACCAGAAGGCCTAGAAACCGTGGATCTTGATGATATTTTTATCGATGCCGTTGTCCCCAAGGAAGTTTTGGACCTTGAGACGTTGGTCTCCTTGAAGTTGAATTACTTGCCCAAGTTCTTCATCTTGTACAAGCGTACCGTTACAAGCGAATTCCTGTATTAGAAAGTAAATAGAAAAAAAAAGAAAAATCAAACTTGTAATTGATCTTAAATATTAATCGAAAATTCAATCCTATAATTTTTTTTTTTTTACCTTTTTGAAAGCTTTCAACAATTTTTTCTTATCATATTCACCAGGTAGACCTTGAACAGTGGTCAAAGTCTTTCTACCGTTTCTCTGTTGTATACGAATATCTAAAAGGACGATCAGAAAGTCAAGGAAATAATAAAACATGTTTTATGCCAGTAAATGTATAAACATACGAAGAATAAACTCGAATAGATTTTATTCATATGAAAATGGTCATCTATAACAGGCAGATGACCTTTTACATAACATTAAAATAAAAGGATACGAATATACCCTTGAGGTTGTCCTGCGTCTTCTTCACCGGTGTCAGCAAAAGGGTCTATTGATCAAAAAAAAAAGTTGGGTAAATACGGAGGTCAAAAGGAAAATAAAATCTTTAATAAACATACCGTAGCTGTTAAGATTTTGGATGGTGGTCTCGGACATAAAAATTACGGTTTAAAACTTTACAGAAAAAAATAAACAGTTGGAAAGGTCGAGTGTAAAAACTTTTTGTATTGTTTATGAACTTTTGATTAGGGTGTTATTTTCTTTTTTTTATTTTTTTTTGTAAAAAAAAAAATCTGTTCTGGAACGACGATTAAAGGGTGTTTATATTTGGTTTTTTTTTGGGGGATCTCGGTTATAAAAAATGTTACACATGATTTACAGCCGATTTCGAAAAAAAGCAAGGTGGTTATTCATATTTTGTCCTAGTTCAATTTCTTAAATTAGATTAGGTTGCCACTTATGAAATCACAATGATTTATTTTTTTCAATTATATAATTATAACATAAAAAATATAATGCTCCCATAATTTGTTTATCAATTAAAATATGTTGTTCCGTTTTTGATACTTTCGAGTTCTACAAAGATCAAAAAAGAAAAAAAGGACGACGATTATTTATTATATGAAAAAAAATAAATAAATAAATCAATCAAGAGAACAAATTATTTCATACCAATATGTTATGCTCAATTCCAAATGTATTGCTTCGTTTCTTGATTAAACCAAAATCTTCACAATATTCACACAACTTTTTTTTTACGTTTCTAATTTGATATTCTTTCCCGATATCATGTAAATTTATGCTATATATGTCTTTTCTATACACGTCATCCTCATAATTCTGGAGAATACTTATCTGACGCGCCAAGTTATAGGTAGCCTAATGAACATTGATATTATTATCATACAGAAGATAATATTAAAAATTTGAAATGTGTCGTATATAAATTATACATACATAAGCATCGGTTGCAGCATATTCAACCTGTGATGGGCTAAGATAGATATTATTCCAATTGCTCAAGATCACATTCCTTGGTTTCGCTAATTCATGTTGCAGCTACCGTGAAAAGAAGAAATTAAAAATTATGATCAAGCAAAGATTAATCATTTGAATATTATTCCCTTACCAGCACTTCAACCATCTTATATAACGCGATTTTTCTTTTGGAAGAAGTTGAGGTAGACATATCCGTCCTGACTTGTACACATAAATGACTTAATTCCGCAAGACTTTTGCTTTGAATGGCATAATCTTTTAAAAGTTTGGTTCCATCTCCTTGTATATTGCATCCAAATTTGATCACATTTTTGTCTTCTAAAATACTTTTTAGTACCGCCGGAAACGTTGACATATGACTAATGTGAAAAAGAAATATGGTCGATGAATCACACAGTTGTAATAAAGATACTTTGGATGGCTTTGGAAATGCTCGCCATTCACAATCCAATCCAAATGTATTAGATCTTTAATAATTTTAAGGAAATCGACGCGTTTAAGCATTTTGGGGGGAAATGTTAATATATTTCTATGTTAAAAAAAAAAAAAAAGTTGAATATAATTGCATGCAATGCAATAATCAAAAAGGAATTTTTAACTTGTTTCTAAGCAACCATTCGTTGGCTTCAAGTGAAGACTTCGTATATTTCAAGGTATATGTTTTATCATTCTTATATGATAATAATGGCAAATTGTGCGTTTGTTCGGTTTTCGTTTGAATATTTGAAAGAACTTTTTGTTTCAAGCCACGCGTAATAGGGCCGAATTTTCCACTGAAGACCACGTTAGTTCTCTGGTGGGTTATTAATAATGTCAGTGACAAGTTAAAATAGTCCGATAAAATAAAAATGATTATTATCTCACTCGACCTTGAACTTGTTAAGCATGTTCGTTCACTATATAGGTAACCAAGAACGAAATATTTTACGCGTAAAAATTCTCATATATCATAAATCAGGGCCCCTTCATAAATTCCGTATACCATAGAATTTAACGGGAATTTCAAGTTTTATGATCATTAATTACTCAAACCAATGATCTTTACAATTTTGTATTCATTAATTCAATGAACGTGATTTATTTGTTTCAATGTAGATAAAAAAGAGAATATATAATAAAGAGAATAATGAAAATAAAAAAAATAACTAGCTATAATATATCAAAAATTTTTATTGTAATACTCATTAACCGCATCCACAACATTTACCATAAGCATCTTTCTCTGAATTGTTCAAAATAAAGAAACGTTAAAAAAATTATTCACGTATTAATGAAATAGTCTTATGATTTTGAATGAATAATTTACCTTCATGTTTAACGATTCTTCTAATTCGATTGGATCCACCATTGGAAGAACTACTAAAACCATTGCTTTCTCTTAGAGTTTCAGCTGCTGAAGGCTATTTTATTATTTTAAAATATTTAGTGAATCTATACAATTTCTAATTAAAAACGCTCTTGCAAAAAGACTTACCGAGAATAAAGTATGAAAGAAATTGAAAATAAAGAAATATGTATACAAAAAGAAGTCATACACAACTCTCGTAATAGTTCGTTGTTCACAAACTGTTCCGTCTACGTAATAATTGATCGTTCGCTTAGAACATTGCACCAAAAATACGAAAAGAATACGAAAATACCTACCTTTGGCGATATACTTTGTCATTTGGGTTTTTTTTCTTAAGAATTTTGATATGCTGTAAAATTTGTAAAATTGCAAAATATTCATTAATTAATAATGTCTAATTATAGATATGCATTGTAACGTTGTAAAGTTAGACGTTGAGGAATTTGACATTTGATAGTTCTTATTAACAAATATGGTAGACTATCGTTATTATCAATAGTAACATACCACGTTTTTTTATTGACATTCCCAACTTTTTTTTGAGGAAAAAAAAAAACTCATTAACCACATAACCGTACTTTGTAGCGATGATGGAACAAAGTCACAATCTAAAAACTAATATATTTCCAAATGAAATATTTCAACATGCTCTTGCATTACTTCCGTTAAAAGAAATATATTCATTCAAGCGAGTCAATAAAGTATGGTATCGTTTATGTGACCATGCAATCGTTGAACACATTACAACCTCGGGTTCAAAGATCCACGTTCGAGCTGGTACCTCAAAGAAGCCAAAACTTTGTTATGATCTTAATTTCGTAGGTTATGATCCTATTTCAAACATTTTCACATTCCAACCTCTTCATGATAATATAGAATCGACTTTTTGTTATCTAAAACATTTGCGAGAAATTAGAATATTATTTGGAGAATGGGAAGGTGTCAATACAACACTAAACAAATTTTCCCCATCGGATCCGAAATTTGAAATTCCTAATAGGCATGTTGATCCGCAAGCATCCGAGGTGTTAAGACGTGCTAAATTAGAATTTCATAAAAATTACATAGAGTCCTTACGGAAAGTATATCAATTAGATGATGAACCTTCATTAAAAGAAGGAACCATGATATCCTGTTTAGGAGACAAAGATATCGTATTAAAGTGTCATATAACTACCGCACTTCCTTGTAATGTACCGAATGACCAACTGAATTTCGAGGATGATGATGCAGGGGGTGTGGTTTATAGTTTAAAGATAGATTTCGTTAAAGTTTGTGCTTCTTGGTTAGTTTCTGGTACAACATCAAATTTTATTCCAGAGGATTCGCGAAATCAAATATTTGCTCCTAGATTTAATCTTTTGGATCAAATTCTTGCCGAGCACAACATTACAAGATATTATCGTTATTCTTCAATAGTTCTTAAATGGATCTTATCAGATTATGATAGGAATGACAAAAAAAACCATCGAATTAATTCAACGTATATTATCTACCCAGGGAAATTTTTCAATACGAAGTAAAGTTGAAACGGCATTAGAGGAACAAAATGTGAAAAAACAAAACATGTGGAAATATTCTTTAGTAGCACGATTCCTTTGCGATCCTGATTCTTATCCTGATCCTCTCGACATGGTCGTGGATAGGGTTGTTCGTGCCGAACGTAGTGAATCAGATCAAATGAAAGACAATAATCATCACAAACTTTCAAGATTCTCTCGTGGATTATATTTCATAAAAATGAAATTTATTTTATCAGATACTTAAACATTTCTAGACTTTCATTACCCCCCCCCCCCTTTTTTTAATTTATTTACTTTGTATAGATTAAATAATTTTTTTATGATATATTTATTTTTTTTTTTTTTGATAAACGTATTATTTATTACAATTAATAAAATACAATAAAATATGTTAAGATGAATCGGTACTTTTTACTACTAATGTCTCGCTAGAAGATTCAGGTGATGATTTTAACGACCGACGATAACTACAAATTATAAGTTCATGTTAATTTTAATCGTATATAATAAAACCGTCCAACAATAGATATGTTATATACTAACTTCCATATTCTATACATTTGGGTTAATCCAGTTCCAGCTACAAATATATTTACCGATAATAAAGTATAATTTACAGGGATAATTTGTGTGGAATATCGTGACCAAATCAATCCTGTCGCTGTAAGAGCTTTATACAAAATACATTCAAGTGGAAGATTAAAAATGAATCCTAAATTCCCGATTAAATGATTTGAAATATTATATACGAACCGCAAGTTTGAGATACTGATAACGATTCTGGGGGTCGCTTGAGATCGCTTATACCAGCAATAACCAAGCCCTAAAATAATAACATGGTATCACTAGAGAATTCATGTCGTAAAGAAAAAATATTTTAAAACGCTTACCCATTTCATAACCGGCGCCCAAAAATGAACGGTTTTTGGACCTTATCACAGAAAAAGAATAAAAACGTATATAATCAGGGTTTATAGAAAATGAAGAATTCCTTGAATATACAAACAATAAATACCCGCAGGATGATTAATAAATCGTTGAAACCTGGATGAGACTACCGCATTCGCTGCCATTTTGGAAATAACAAAATTTTAGGTGGTTGTATAAACAAATTTCTCTTACGAAACAAAAATAAAAAAAAAATAAAATGGCGATTTAGTTTTTGAACATAACTCACATGATTTGTTAATTTACCCTCCCGATGTAATTCTAATAATCAATAGATCAGTCAATTAATTCTTACTTAAAAATGTTCTTTCAGTGATAAACAACACATGATCCTTGTTTTAGGGTGAATGAACTATACTATTTTAAAATTCCTATTCTATTAGTTTTCGCTTATAAATTTTAAAAATCTATAAAATTTTTTAATAGTTAATAAAATACATTTCAACAATTTTAATTCAAGTCACTCTCTGATTTTTTATAGTCTAATTTTTCTTCTCTATAGAAACTTTTTTAAAAATTTTTACAAGTTTGTCTAGTGAAAAACTACTTTAAAACTAATTAGTTTTAAAAGTGGTATTTCACTTGAACTATATTATGACCCACTTCATAACCTGGATAATACAAATAAAACCTTGTTATCACTTTATAACCTGAAAAATGCAGGTATAATCTGATTACCACTTCATAATCTAATATTTATAATCTAATTATCTTAATATAATCTATTTTCATAATTCAATTATCACTTCATAATTTAATATTAGTTAACTAGTTATTTCTTGATTTTTCTTACTATTCATATTTATATATTTGAATGATATAATTACGACTTTATAATCTAATTATCACTTTATCTTATAATCTAACTATTCTTATTTTCCTTCCTATTTTTGGCCTTTTTTATCATTAAAAAACTATCAATATATTGGTTTGCTTTTGCATCTTTTTATTACTAAAAGCTATCTAAATGTTAACCTATTTCTATGCTTATTTTATTACTAAGGAAATATTACATATTTATTAACTTCTATGCTTTTTTTATTGTCAAAAAATATCTTATTAATATTAGGTGATATAATAAATTTGTAATTAATTTTGACTAATACTATAATATAATTATAATTGATCTTAAAGAATATAATTTAGCATTATTCTAATGTCACTGTCAGAAAACTAAAGAGATTCTATTAATTTGTTAGTTTCAAATCACTTTTATACTAGATTTGATGCATAAAATTACCTTATTATAACTTAAGATTCAGATTCTTTCTCATTATTTTTTTATCACTTTTAAATTTTAATCTAATAGATTAGTTAGTTAAAGGATCAGAAATGTAATATATATTTTCATAACTTAGAAGTTTTAACTTAAGAATTCTATAGCTAAATCTACTGTATACTAAAAAAACTAAAGAATAATATTTAATAATAATCTATTTTCATATTTTATATAATAATTTTTTTTGATAAAGGATTTATCATACCTAAATATATATTTAAAAATGTATAAACTTCTTCTAATTTTTATATAATAATTTAAAAAAATATATTATAATATAAAAAACTCACATAATAAGAATTATATAGTATAATAGAAATAATCTGTATAATTAAAATATATTGTATAACAAATGATTTATAAATTAGTGTAACATAAAAGATTTACAGATTAACTGATAAATAATCAACCAATTTAGAAAAATAAAATCATTAATTATGATGATATGTTTAAATTAAAGATACTAAAAAAGAATTGAAAAAAATGTAACAATTCTAAGTTAAAAATACTAAAAAGAAATTAAAGGAGAAAAATTAAAAAAGAAATAGAATAGTTATTAAGTAATAATAAAATAATACTATAGTTATAATTAATACTAAAGATGGTTCTTATAATTACTTTCAAATTTCAATTAAGTTATAATTTAATTGTATCATAAGTTACAATTCAATTGCATCATTTTTCTTTTAATTATAGTGTATATCTTTAATTAGTATATTATGAAATAATATTTAATCATAAATTATAAGATTATTGTATAATAATTGAGTAATAATTACTTAATTTATAGCATAAATATTTAAGATAAATAAGATAATTGTTATATAATTCTTTAAAATAGATTATTAATTAGCATAAAATTTTTTTATTATAAAAAGTTTAAGAAAATTTAATTAACTTTTTTAAGAAGTAAATTTATTAAGATATAAATTATATTTTTTAAGAAATTACCTTTTATTTATTTTTTAATAAAGTAACTTTAAAATAAATAAACTTTTGAACGTATTTATTTTACTTATTGATAAAAAAGTAACTATAAATAAATAAAACCTCATATAGTATTTTTTAAAAAATAAAGGAATATCTCTTTATTAGTTATTATTATATATCTCTAAAATAAGCAATTTATGTTTACTATGACAATGCTTATTTTTAGGTAATTAAAATATAAAAAGTCAAAGAAGTTAATTGAACTTTTTAAAATTTAATTAATGTAAATCTCATAATTATAGATCATTATTTGATATATAAAAGATCACATAAATTTCACATAATATATAAATCAGTTTTAAATTTATTTACTACAATATGTTATAATACAATGTCTAAAAGAAAACAAATTAAAAAAAAATTAAACAAGTTATTAAATACAGATAAATTCTTATTCTATAATGTAGAAAATAAAAGTTATTACATACATAAAGGAGAAGAAAAATATTAGAGTTACAGAATACTTTAATATTGATATTGGTATAGACTTCAGTAAAAGTAATAATACTCAGTTTTTTAATAATTTATGCACAATTTTATAATAAAAAATCAAAAAAAAATTTTATTTTTTGAAAGACTGACCAAAATTATATATATTTTATTAATTAATTAATATTTGGTATAGCCTCACATTAATACATGCTTTAATATAACTTGACATATTATTAATGCAGTTAACTATTGTGATGTTTTCAATATTATCCCATTCCTTTCTAATTAAATTTAAAAAAATTTCTTTTGAGATTTTTTTTCTTTGTATTACCATTTCTTAACCTCTTTCTCAACATTTTTTTTTAAAATAGCTCAAACATTTTCAATAGAATTAAGGTTAGGGTTATAAGAAGGCCAAGAAAAAACTGACCTGAAAGGTGAGTTTTCAAATCACCTTAAATATTACAAGAAGTATGTTTCAGGTTATTATCTTACTGAAAGACCTATCAGTTACCATATATTACACTTACATTATCATATAAATGTTCATTAAAAATTTGGTAGTATAAATGACAATCCAAATTTTCAGTGAACATATGTATGCCAATTATAGATGCCTGCCGAAACCTCCTCAAAATAATTTCGTCATACCCTTTTCTATGTTTTTAATATAGTTTTGACAGTTTCGGCTTTTGTCGTATCGAATGGGTTTCGTCGTATCTCTTATTATGATTTTTAATATAGTTTCGTCTAAGTTTTGACTGTTATTAAGGGTTTCATCCCTCATCTATAATGCCAATTTTTTCCTTAATGCTGATTGCACTCCAAATATAAATTTTAAATAGTTATTTTACTATTAGAGCAATAAGTTTTTTGTTACGTAACCATATTAGAAAGGTATTACAGAATATTTAAAAAGTAGTTTTATCAGAAAATATTACCTTTTTCTAATTATAATTCACATGATCACAGACCTAAAACAACCAGTTCTCTTTTGCTTTCTGTGTCAAAAGAGGAACTTTTCTAAAATTAACAGATATAAATCTAAGATTTTTAGCTCACGACAAATGGTCTGTTTACTAACTTTAAGCTCTGGATTTTTTCTTTAAGTTAGACCTTCATTTCACTTACTGTAGTGAAATGATTATACTTAATGATCATTTTAATTTAATGGTATTTTTTAGAAGTCAATTTTTATAGTCGACCAGACTGATAATCTATAATAATCTTACTAATTTTCTTTAATGAATTAATATAACAATAACAGGAGCATAAGAGAATACTTATTTTTTATGAAATTTCTTTTGCATTTTGAATTTTTCGCTGTCAAAGATGGTTAACAGCATTTCAGTTTCTTTTAAGATGATTAATACCATTTTAAATAAAAAACATGAAGAAATTCATTTTTTTCTACAACTTTTTTTTGTTTGTTTATTAAATATTATTTATAAAGGATACTCTAGAAATATAGAAAATTTTAGAGTGAAAAATGAATATGTTATGACTCAAAAAATAAGCAGCACTTGTAGTACCATTACTTTCATCAGTAATTATATAGTCAGATACTAAATCTAAATAAACTTAAGCTGATTAAA